CCTTAAGAAAAAAATTGTAATAATTCTAAACGTAATGAAAAGTAACAACAAATGTAAAAAGATATTATTAAAATATAATAAATTGGTAACATAAAAAAATTAGTATTATGAATAAAAAAAATAATTCAATCAAAAAATAAGTGTTAATGTAAAAAGGTGAGAATAATTGTAAAATTGGTATCATTTGGTGTCAAATATCTTAGAAGTGTTGTAATATCTTAAAAACCTTTTTTGATAATTTTAAGCATAATAAAATGTAAGAACAAATGTAAAATATTTTATTGTAACATAAATATAAGTTAACAACATAAAAATTTATATTATAAATAAAAAATAATTCTAAACAAAAAAAAACGTTTTAACGTAAAAATATAAGAATAATTGAAAATTTGGAATCATTTGGTGTAAAATATGTTATAATGTCGTAATGTAAAAGGCTAAGAATAGTTGTAAACTTGCTCTCATTTGACGTAAATTAGATTAGAAGTGTCGTAGCACTTTAACAACAAATTGTGATAATTCTAAACATAACAAAAAGTAAGAACAAGCATAAAAAAAAAATATTATCGTAACATAAATGATATTTTTGGCAATGTCAAAAAGTTATTTTTATAAATAAATAATAATTCTAAACCAAAAAATAAGTGCTAATATAAAAAATATAAAAATAATCATAAAATTGATATCATTTGGCGTAAAATGATTAGAAGTGTTGTAACACCTTTACGAAAAAATTATGATAATCTTAAACGTAATGAAAGGTAATGACAAATGTAAAAAGATATTCTTATAATGTAAATAATTAAGTTGGTAATTTAAAAAAAATATTATTACAAACAAAAAAATAATTTTAAATAAAAAGTAAGAGTTAACATAAAAAAGTGAGAATAATCGTATAATTAGTATTATTTTATGTAAAATGATAAGAAGTATTGTTACACCTTAAAAAAAAAATGTAATAATTTTAAATATAATGAAAAATAACAACAAACATAAAAAGATATTATTGAAATATAATAAATATGTAACGTAAATAAATTAGTATTATGAATAAAAATAATTATAAATAAAAAATAAATGTTAAAGTAAAAAGATGAAAACAATCGTAAAATTGATATAATTTGATATGAATTATGTTTGAAGTGTTATAATACTTAAGAAAATGTTGTGATAATTCTAAATTTAATAAAATATAAGAACAGGTGTAACATAATTTATTTTAACATAAATAATTAAATTGATAATATAAAACATTATTATTATAAATAAAAAATAATTTTAAACCTAAAAATAAGTGTTAAAGTAAAAAGGTAAAAGTAATCATCAAATTGGTATAATTTAACACAAAATGTGTTAAAAAGTATCGTAACATAAAAATGTAAGAATAGTTGTAAAATTAATATCATTTGATGTAAAATAGGTTAGAACTATTATAACACCCTAAAGAAGAATAGTTATAAAATTAGTATCATTTGGTGTAAAATAGGTTAGAACTATAGTAATACCCTAAGAAGAGTTGTGATAATTTTAAACGTAAAGAAATATAAGAATAAGTATAAAAATATTATTTTAATGTAAACAATTAAGTTGACAACATAAAAAATTATTATTATAAATAAAAAATAATTCAATTAAAAATAAGTGCTTATGTTAAAATGTAAGAATAATCATAAAATTTGTATAATTTGACATAAAGTGCATTAAAAGTGTTATAACACCTTAAGAAAAAATTTTTAATAATTCTAAATATAATAAAAGATAAGAACATATGTAAAAATATATTATTATAACGTAAATAATTAAATTTGTAACATAAAAATTATTATTATAAATAAAAAGTAATTTCAAATAAAAAAAGTGTTAATGTAAAAAAGTAAAAAAAAGTAAAAATAATCATAAAATTGATATCATTTGACATTGTAATACTTTAAGAAAGAGTTATGATAATTTTAAACAAAACAGAAAATAAGAACATATGTAACAAAAAATTAAAGTAAATAATTAACTTGACAATATAAAAGAATTGATATTTTAAATAAAAAATTTGTTAACATAAAAAGATGAAAATAATTATAAAAATCATATCATTAGATGTAAAATGAGTTTGAGATTTCTTATCCTTGAAAAAAATTTTAATAATTCTAATGTAATGATAAAAAAGTATAAAAATATATTATTAAATGTAATTAATAAAGTTGATTTCATAAAATAAATTGATATTATAAAATTAAAAAATATATAATTTTTTATTTGTTAAATTAATAAATTAAATAAAATTATAGATACTTTTTTTAATATTCACCATTTTTTAAATTATATTATTTTTATAATTTATCAAAATATTATAATATCTCATAATTTTTAAATAACATCAATATATTGCATCTTTATTATAGATAAACCCACGATGATTTTACTTTATTAAAAATACATTTTACTTTCTTAAGAAGCAAGAATGTGATGTTTTCAATTTTTCAAAGTTGCTTTACTTTATCATGCCGCAACAATTTAATATATTTTGTTTATTTTATGAGAATTTATACTCAGTAGTTCAAGTTAATATTTGCAGTAATAATAAGAGTGACCCATTTAGAGTCGGACGGTGATGACAATGACTGTGAATAGTGATCAATATTTGTACAAATGCAGCAATGACACTAGATCATTCCTGATCGGCAGGATGTTGGAACTTCGGAAGATGGTTTCTGTTACCTTCCAAACCAATCCCAAAAACATCAAATTAAAACATAGCTTGTACAAGTAATAAAGAAAAGACAACAACAAACGTCAATCACCAAAAACGATTTGTACTTTGGTCCAAAGCCCCATCATCATTCACCAGGAAAAAACAAAAAAGCAAAGTGAAAAGAAAGAACTTAAGCTTTCAATTGAAACCAACTAGAAAAACAAGAAAGAAGCAAAAGAAGAAATAGAAAAGAAAAGATTTAATTTTAAGTGAAAGTGAAGAAAAGAAAGACAGAAGAAGAGGGAAGGATGGGAGTGGATTATTACAAGATACTGTAAGTAGATAGGAATGTAAACGATGAAGACTTGGAAAAGGCATATAGGAAATTGGCTATGAAATGGCATCCTGATAAGAACCCACAGAATAAGAAAGAAGTTGAAGCTAAATTCAAGAAAATCGCAGAAGCCTATTTGGTATCAAAGCTTTCCCTTTTTAATTTATCCCTTAAAAAGTTTCAGTATCTTCCTTATCTGGATTCACGAATTGTTGCTATCATCTATTCAACTTCAAACCTTCAATTGTTATTATTTTTATAGCTTTGGTTAGTTTTATTTTCATTACAAGGAGAGGTAGCTAGTTTTTATTTTTATGGATTAGTCCTCATATTATGATCTGGGTGTTCGTTATTTTCTCTTTATTTTGTATCCTAAGACTGCCATGATAAGAATTTTATAGAAAATATCTTGAGTTTTATTGATTCTTTATTGAAAGGATTATATTTTATTTTTACAGGTTCTAAGTGATCCCAAGAAAAGATTAGTGCATGATCAGTATGGTGAGGAGGGTTTAAAAGGTGCTACGCCACCACCGGAGTCTGGAGGAGCTTCCTTCTTCTCCACTGGAGATGCACCAACAACGTTCCGGTTCAATCCAAGGGATGCTGACGACGTATTTGCAGAGCTCTTTGGGTATTCCAGTCCTTTTGGTGGTTGTGGTGGCAGCAGCATGAGAGGAACAAGATTCTCTAGTTCAATTTCTGGAGATGACATTTTTGGATTTTTTGGTGAAGGAATGAGAGGAGGAGGTGGATCAATGCACCAAGGTGCCCCAAGAAAACCACCTCCAATAGAGAATAGGTTGTCTTGTAGCCTTGAAGAGTTATATAAAGGGACTACTAAGAAGAAGAAGATCTCTAGAGAGATTGCTGATATCAGTGGGTAAGTCTTTTATTTCTCAATTGGCTATCTGATTTCTTTCTGTGTTTGGGACTCTATAGCTCTTTCTCTGCATATGTAAATTTATCTCAGCTATTTGATTAATCACTTTTTTTCATCTAACCTTGTTGGGCGCTTTTATCTTTGTATATGATCTAAGGTCCTAGTTCTTCTCTATTATTGGATTTTGATTGTTAGTTACATCCGAAGGCAAATTAATAGGTATCTGATAACCTATTTCAATGCCAATCTGAATTTTCAAGATCTATTTACTCATTGTTGCTCATGAACTTTCAAGGATCTACTTCTTGATCCATTCTTTGATAGCTTGTTGATCCTTCTCATCTATGAGGCAGACGATTTTTAAGTAAAAGGCAAGAGAATTTATAAAAGAAAACTTTCACTAGTGTCATTGGGATTTACACTTATTGTTAATTTTCACTAAGTATATGTGCCTATTTATATAGCATATATCATAGTCTATGCTTCTAATATCACATATGCACAATATTTTTTAGAATAAAATTCTAACTCAACTTATATTAGGAGTGAGATAATTTCCATGTGGATGTACTAATGGATTTGGGTCGACTTGACCCGATTCATATTCCAATAATTAGTTAGAAATGTGGTTTGGTATATAGTTAAGACTGTTGTCTCTCTAAATCAGAACGAGGACAATAATAGGCGGTTAATTAGTCCATTTGTCTTTGTCCAAGTTAGCGGCTGCCTTACTGAATATGAGTTTGATCCTGATGACCTAAATGTAGATTTTCAGTTTAGGTCATATTTTCCCCTCAATTTTTCTATTCAAATATTAATTGAAGTGTCTCCTAACACGGTATCTACATCCTTCCACAACATATAATCTGCAAAGAACATATATAGACTACATTGTTATGTTGGAATGCAGAATAGCAGTTGTGTGCGTCAGTTCATATTGAGGTTCCTATGGTAGTGAGTTAAGCAGTTGTAGTTATGTTATGAAAACGTATGTGCAGAAAAGGTATAGGTTTAGGGACAGGATTTTGTGCTTTACATGAATATGGAGAAACTTATGTAGTTTGTTTAAGCTTATGAAGCAAAGCAGTCATCCTGGTGAACAATTTTCTGTTTAAGGTTTTCATCCCTTGCAAGAGAAGATGGAGCTTGTAAAAAGTCTTAGATAGAGCAGTTACTTATTGCGATATCTACTCTGGGAAAACACCCCATGGGTTCCATGTTTTTGTGTGAATGATTTCTTGATAAAAGGCTGCTTCTGGTTAAATTCAATAGTTAACTTGTTTTTGTATTTATGGTTGCAGCAAAACCATGCAGGTGGAAGAGATTTTAACCATCCGTGTTAAGCCTGGTAGGAAGAAAGGTACAAAAATCCCATTCACGGAGAAAGTGAATGAACAGCTAAATGTTATACCTGCAGATCTTGTCTTTATCATCGACGAAAAACCCCACAGTGTGTTTACTCGGGATGGCAATGACTTGATTGTCGCACATAAGATCTCTCTCGCTGAAGCCTTGGCAGGTTATACTGTTCATCTCACTACTTTGGATGGCAGGAATTTAACAATTCCAATCAACAATGTAATTCATCCAAACTATGAGGAAGTGGTTCCAAGAGAAGGTATGCCAATCCAAAAGGACCCTACAAAGAGAGGAAACTTGAGAATCAAATTTAACATCAAGTTCCCAACAAGGCTGACAACAGAACATAAGTCTGGGATTAAGAAACTCTTGGGTTCTTGAGACGATATTGGCAAATATTCACTTATGGATACAAGGGGTACACTTACTGTTAATACATATGTGTGATCCTTTTACAAGTACGAGGCAGTAATGTTGGTTTTCTTTTGATTGATTGCGTAGAAAACTCGATCTTGGTGCCCTTGATTAGAACCGTTGAAAACTAGCCAATCTCTCCAGCGCACTCTGCCACTGGTTTCTAATGCTGAAAAGTCAAAATCCACCCTTCATCGGAAAACTTCTTACATGAACTGCTCGACTGTTTGAGCAAAAAAGGATAAATTATTATCTTAAATTGGCGAGGTTAATGGTGTACTGTATGCGATTAGATTATCATTAATAGTTTAGTGACTTTTTTCTTTTTAATTTTAAGCTACTACGATTGAAGTGCTACCACTTAAAATCTCATATATATATATTGTTTTGTTTTACATTTTACCTGAGAAATATATAATAAAAAGTAACTATATGACTTTCGGATAAAATATTTGTCAAAGATTATATACCAAGTACTTGTTTATCTATCAATTTTTTAAAATTTATTAGGACTTATTGGAAATATTTTTAAAATAGTGAAAGAAATTTAGTGAAGTATCATATTAGTTAAGAGATAAAGAAATTAAAGTTTAAGAAAGCTTAAAACAAGTTTTGGAATCAAGAATAAGTTGGAAAATGAAATTTAGTTAGGGTATTTGGATGCTATCACAGGATATTCAAATATCAACTTTTTGTTTGAAGGTATTCGAATACCCTTATAGGGCATTCGAATGCCTACTCATTGTTTTAAGATATTAGGTGAAAATCACTAGGGTATTCGAATAAGATATTTAAATACCACTTTTCTATTTGGTCAAAAGAGTGATTTTCAAAATGATTTCTCTTGGAATGAGATATACTCTTCCATACATGATCTTTTGTTATCAGAAAGGTGAATAATTATGTTCATAATTATTCATAAATGTGTGTTTTAGATTAAGGTTGTATCTATTAAATGAAATGACATATGTAAAGAGTCATCACTTTTCTCTAAAGGGTTACAAACCTGTTGTTTGATCTCTATCAATAAGGATTCCATAACATAATTTAAAAATGTTATTTAATGCTAGAAATATGTGGAGAAACTCCGCCAAATCTTCTCGTTCTCACTCTTATCGTAATGTGTTGGTCTAAAAACCTAACCGCTAGATGTGAAAAAATAAAACAAAAAACATTTTTAAAAATATCAAAATTGAAGACTCACCACTTATTTTTTTTTTAAAGTGTGTTTGGCCACCTTAAAAGTTTATATTTTTAATAAAATATTAAAATGAGTTTAAAGTTTATTAAAAAGATATTTTTGATCTACAAAATTAAAGTTAGGTTTGGGAGTTCGTTACATGTGATAAAGGATTAATACTCTCACAATGTCCTTTAAAAATTATATCAATTAATTGCATGTTATCCTTGAGTTTTGGTAAAAATGATCCTAACTTTAATGCTTACAAATTAATTCCTTAATTTTATTTATTCTCTCTAACAATCAGCTCTTTTTAAACTTTTTGTTTTTGAAACAAATCATTTTTATTTATGATCTCTAGAAAAAGGAATAAACCAATCATTTTGGATCAAGATGAAAAATCTTAAGTCTTGAACACTTCCTTTACTCCTATATATTTAGGTAAAATTTTAAAAATTTTTGTAACTTTAAGAGTTTTCAAAATGCCCTATAAAACCAATATAATATTTTGCGTAAATGATAACTATTGAAAATCCCTTATATAAGGTTAGATCTCAAAGGTAATTTTTACCTGAAATATTACCTTATTTTATTATTTTTAAAACATTTTCTTAAAAGATTTTTATTTATGAAACATGTAAATGATATGCATGAACACAAAGATATATTATATATGAAAGGTAATTGAAAGGTAAATGACAAACACAATGTATGAATGCAATGACAATTCTAAGATGTAATTGCATGCAACAATTTATTAAAAATTAAATACAAATGCATGAGAATAGGTTTAGGTTTGGCCTAGGATTTGGGGATTGGTTTGGTTTGGATAGGGATTTGGTTTAGTTTGGGTTTGGGAATGGGTTTAGGGTTTGGGATTTGGGATTTGGTTTAGGGCTTTGGTTTAGGTTCAATTTAATGTTTGAGTTAGCGTTTAGGATTTGATTTAGGATTAGTTTAGGGTTTTAAGTTGGTTTAGGGCTTGGTTAGGGTTTGGGATTGATTTAGGGTTTGGTTAGGGTTTGGGGTTTTAGCTTAGTGTTTAAGGTTTTAGTTTAGGGTTTGGAGTTTTGTTTAAGTTTAGGATTTAGGGTTTGGATCGGCTTTGGATTTAGGGTTTAAGGTTGGTCTAGGGATTGGGGTTTTGGTCTAGGGTTTGAGGTTTGCATGAGCAATGCATGCGATAAGGTAAACATGGAATCAATGTAGAATGTAACATTTAATGCATGAAATGAGACCGAACATGAAAGCCAAAACTTAAGCAAATTCACAATCACATCATAAACTAAAATGCATGCGAAAACCTTACTAAAAATAAATCAAAGATCAAAGGAAAGAAGCAAGGTTCGGCCTAGCTATAGAGGGAGCTTAAACCGAAACTTGCATGGCCATTTAACCATCCCTTGTGTTGGCCAAACCTTGGTGACTATGTATCCACCATTTCGTTTCAACACAAACACATAAAAACAAGGTTAAAGTTACTAAGAAAAATCACTCATTCAACATTTTTTTATTTTTTATCTTTTACAAATTTTATCAAACACATGAAAAACATAAAGCCAAGAACAAAATCAAGCATGCATGAAACATCAACTTTTAGCCATGAAAAATATGATTGGAAGTCCCGGCTAAGTAATGGTGAGTGCTAGGCTGAACACTTCTTATGGTCTGTCCACAAAGACCCTATCACTTATTTAGCTAAGGCATATATCAAACACATAGAAAACTAACTTATGAAAGCATCTTATTATAAAAGGAATTTCATCAAGCATGTAAAAAATGACAAAAAAAGAAAATACTAGAAATAAACATACTTACCAAACAACCAACATAACTCATCAAGGTAATAAACTAGCATGAATTTAACAATCAATACTACTACAAATACATCAACATGCATCAATCCAAGCAAGCAAACTTTATGAATAAGCCAAGTGGAGGTTTGGCCATGGCATGGGAGGGCTTGGCTGAACCTCCAATGGTGGACATTTTTTGTGTTTCTTGATCTTTATCAATTCAAACCATACTATTGATTAGGTTGGTTGAATTTATTAGATTAAGCATGAAGTTATGGAGGAAAGCAACTACGGAGAAAGTTTTAAACATAAAATATTTAAAGTTAAAAAAATTAAAAAATTAAAAAATAATAAATAATAAATAAATGTTAAAAGATAAAGACTTTGGGCAAAAAAATGTATGATGAAAAAAAAGAAATGAAAAATGAAAAAAATGAGCTTGAAGTTAAAATGGCCCGAATGGGTTACCAAGCAAGGCCGAAAAAAAGAAAAAGCCCACTTGGCTTATAATTTGGCATCAAGTAAAATAAAATGAAGGGCAAGGCATGCATGAGGACGTGAAGAAACTGCTGCTGCCAAAAATGAAAGCTCACGCATGATGCAAAAGAAGAAAACGGCATGGGACGTGGGGCGTGTCATGGGAGGAACGGCATGAAGAGGTAACGTGGGGTGTGAAACAGGAAAGGAGAGAAGCAAAAAATAAAAAATAGAAAATTACAGCACAAGTCGCATGAGGAAAGACAGGAAAAGCAAAAAGAACTGGCAGTGTTATTCAGCAAAAAAATAAAATTGGGCAGAAAACAAACAAAGGTGATGAGAACGAAAAAAGAAGACAAAAAAAAAAAAAAAACTGGGCAGGAAAAACAAAAAAAACAGGAGAAAAGAAGAGAGCTGGGTGCTGAGAAAGAGGAGCAGAGAACGTGGGAGGCAGGACGGATGAACCAGTAGAAGAAAAGAAGGGCACGAACCAAAAAAAAGAAAAAGAGGGGAGCAGTGACGAAACCGAAAAAGAAGAGAAAGACAGAAGACACTGAACCAAGAAAAAAAAAAGAGGAGAAAAATTGAAAAACGGTGAAACAAGACAGCAGCAAAAGTGAAAAACTGAAGCCAAAAACAAAGAGGGTGAAACAAAAGAGAAACTGGAGAAAAACTGGCAGCAGAAAAACAACAAGAACATGAAGGCAGTGAACAGAGGCATATAAAAAACTGGTAACGGAGAAAAAAAAAAGAAAGAAGAAAGAAGTAGGAAAAGGAGAGCCAGACGCGAACCAAACATTAAAAAAAAAAAAAAGTGACAGCAAATAAGAACCAGCAGAAAGGAGAACAAGGGTATCGTGAAAAACTGACAGGAAAAAAGAGAGCAGAGAAGAGAACAAGAGAAAGGTGAAACCTGTAGCAGAAACGAACCAAAAAAAAGTGACAGAAAAACTAGAGGAGAAGCAAGCGTGGGTGAAGAAGACCAGAAAAGGAAAAGGAAACCAGAGGAGGGGCGAAAGTGAAAGAGATTGGTTCTTTTTTCATTATGCAAGCTTTGTTTTTCTTTTCTTTCTACATTGTTTTTGTCTTTCTTCTTCTGGTCGTATATGGAAGCATCCATGATTTCATTTCTCAATTCTATCATGTTTGGTCCTTATTGACATTTTCGTTGAGTGAGAAAAAAGAAAAGGAACCAAAAAATAGAAGTAGGAACTAAAGGAAATATTTTCTGGAATAAGAATAAAAATGCTAAAGAAGAATGCCTGCGTCTTTTTTTTTTTTAGATATCTTTTAAGAGTAAGAAAATGTTAAAACAGATGCGAGGGAAGGAGGTTGTTCATAGAAGCCTAAAGCCTCATCTTGGTTTCATAGAAGTTTTTTCTGTAGGCAATTTCTTTATGGAAGCCTAAAGCTCATGGCTTCTATTTTTCATTTCTTCACTAGTATTAATCGTTTATGGTTGAGAGGGGAAAGAAAAAGTCAAAAATTTTACTTTTTAATTGTGTTTGTACGTTAGCATAGGCATATGGTACGGTGATTTTGCTTTCATGTTGGCTTTTTTGTTTATAGTTTACTTAAATTTAAATTCCATTCACTCTATCCTCATCAGTTAAATTTTTATGCCCATTTTAGTTTATATGTAATTCAATTTTCTATACTTTAAATTACTTTTGATTTAATTATTTTTTTATGTATTTTAAATTTATTGATACTATCATGCTTTTTAAAAAAATGACAATACTAAATTAAAAAGATTTTGAAATCCCTACCTATATATTGGAGGGAATAAAAATCAAAATTTTAAAATAAATAATAATAATAACAATAATTCTATCAAGGTGTTAGAGAATTATTAAATAATAAAATAAAATAATAAAAGATAAGTAAATAATAATAATAAATTTTTAATAAAAAGGAAAATATATAAA